GAAGGGAATGGGAAGGGGAAGGGGAATGGGGAGGGAATGGGAAGGGAAAAAGGAAGGGAAGGGAATGGGAAGGGGAATGGGGAGGGGGAGGGGATGGGAAGGGAAAAAGGAAGGGAAGGGAATGGGAAGGGGAAGGGCATGGGAAGGGGAAAGGGAATGGGTATGGGGAAGGGGAAGGGAAAGGAAGGGAAAAAGGAAGGGAAGGGAATGGGAAGGGGAAGGGCATGGGAATGGGAAGGGGATGGGAATGGGAAGCGGAAGGGGAATGGGAAGGGGGTGGGAAGGAGAATGGGAACGGGAAAGGGAATGGGGATGGGAAGGGGATGGGGAATGGCAAGGGGAAGGGAATGGGAAGGGGAATGGGATGGGAAGGGGAAGGGGAAGGGGAATGGGGAAGGGGATGGGGAAGGAGAAGGGAAGGGAATGGCGAGGGGATGGGGAAGGGAAATGGGAATGGGAAAGGAATGGGCATGGGAACGGGATGGGGATGGGAAGGGGATGGGAAGAGGAATGTAATTGGGAAGTGGAAGGGGAATAGGAAGGGGATGGGAAGGGGAATGGGAAGAAGGGGAATGGGAAGAAGGGGAAGGGGAATGGGGAGGGGAATGGGATGTTAAGGGAAATGGGAAGGGGAATGGGATGGGAATGGGGAGGGGAAAGGAAGGGGAATGGGATGGGAATGGGAAGAGGAGTGGGAAGGGGAATGGGGATGGGGAAGGGGAATGGGAAGGGGAGTGGGAAAGGCAATGGGATGTGTGCAGGTGGGGAGCAAAGGGATGAGAATGGGAAGTTCTTTCCTCATTCACCCTCCGGTCCTTCCCCATTCCCTCCCCATTCCCCCCCATTCCCGCCCCATTTTCCCTTGTTCCCTGTCCATTCCCTCCCCATTATCCCCCCATTCCCTCCCAATTCCCAGCCCGTTCTGTCCTCATTCCCTCCGACTCCCTCATTCCTGCCCCGTTCTCCTCTCCTTCCCTCCCCATTCCCTTCCAGTTCCTTCCCCGTTCCCATTCCCATTCCCTCCCTATTCCTGCCTCTTTCCCTCCCCATTCTATCCCAATTCCCCCCCATTCCTTCCCCATTCTCTTCCAATTCCTTCCCCATTCCCCTCCATTCCCCTCCCATTCCCTCCCTATTCCCGGCCCATTCTGTCCTCATTCCCTCCCCACCTCCTTATTCCCGCCCCATTCCCTCCCAATTCCCGCCCTATTCCCTCCCTCTTCCCTTCCCCATTCCCTTCCCATTCCCCTCCCAATCCCTCCCAATTCCTTCCCCATTCCCTCCCCATCTCCCACCTCCTTCCCAATTCCATCCCTATTCCCTACTACATTCCCTTCCCCATTTCCCCCATTCCCTCCCTTCCCTATTCCTTTCCTTTCTCCCCATTCCCTCCCTCATTCCCTTCCCTCATTCCCCACACCCCCATTCTCTCCATCCCCTCCCCACTCCCCACCCCTCATTCCCTTCCCTATTCCCCCCCCATTCCCTTCCCCATTCCCCCCCCATTCCCTCCCAATCCCCTTCCCTATTCCCCCCCATTCCCTTCCCTATTCCCACCCCCATTCCCTTCCCTATTCCCACCCCCATTCCCTCCCATCCCCCCCATCCCCCCCCCATTCACCCCATTCCCTCCCCATCCCCTTCCCCATTCCCACCCCCATTCCTCCCATTCCCTCCCTCCCCACCCCTCATTCCCTCCCCATTCCCCCCCCATCCCACCCCCATTCCCCCCCATTCCCCCCCCATTCCCTTCCCTATTCCCTCCCCATTCCCTCCCAGTTCCCTCCCAGTTCCCCCCCCATTCCCCCCCATTCCCCCCCCGCACCCGCAGCGCTTGGGAACAGCACCAAAATAGGGAATGCCGCGGTTCCCGATCCCGTTCCTTGCCCCGAGCCTGCCCCAGGGCCATGGCCCCCCCTTTCCCAGCGCCTTCCAGCCGGGAATGGGGCCTTGGGGGGGGGGGGGTTGGGGGTTTTGGGGTGCTTTGAGGGGGTTTAGGGCAGGTTTAGGGCGTTTTGGGGTCGTTTGGGGGCTGTTTTGGGGGGATTTAAGGCTGGTTTGGGGCTGTTTTAGGGCTCTTTTGGGGCTGTTTTAGGCTCTTTTGGGGCTGTTTTAGGGCTCTTTTGGGGCTGTTTTAGGCTCTTTCGGGGCTGTTTTAAGGCTGGTTTGGGGGGATTTAAGGCTGGTTTGGGGTGTTTTAGGGCTGCTTTGGAAGGTTTTAGGGCTGTTTTGGGGCTGTTTTAAGGCTGGTTTGGGGCTGTTTTGGGGTGTTTTAGGGCTGGTTTAGGCGGTTTTGGGGTGGTTTAGGGCTGTTTTGCGGCTGTTTTGGGGTGATTTAGGGCTGTTTTGGGGCTGGTTTAAAGCTCTTTTGGGGGGATTTAAGGCTGGTTTGGGGCTGTTTTAGGGCTCTTTTGGGGCTGTTTTAAGGCTGTTTTGGGGGGATTTAAGGCTGGTTTGGGGGGGTTTAGGGCTGTTTTGAAAGGTTTTAGGGTGTTCTGGGGCTGTTCCAGGGTGGTATAGGGCTGTTTGGGGGCTGCTTTAAGGCTGGTTTGGGGTGGTTTAGGGCTGTTTTGGGGTGTTCTAGGGCGTTTTAGGGCAGGTTTAGGCGGTTTTGGGCTGGTTTAAGGCTGTTTTGGGGTGGTTTTGGGCTGCTTAGGGGCTGTTTCATGGTGCTTTAGGGCTGTTTAGGGTTGTTTAGGTCTGATTTGGGGCTGTTTTGGGGTGATTTAGGGCTGTTTTGGGGTGGATTAGGGCTGTTTGAAGGCTGGTTTGGGGCTGATTTAGGGTGTTTTAGGGCTGGTTTAGGGCTGCTTGCAGGGTGTTTTGGGGTGGTTTAGAGGACTGGTTTAGGGCTGTTTTTGGGTTATTTTAGGGCTGTTTGGGGGCTGGTTTAGGGCTGTTTTAGGGCTGTTTGGGGGTTGTTTTAGGTCTGTTTTGGGGCTGGTTTAGGGCCAGTTTGGAGCTGTTTTAGGTCTGTTTTGGGGCCGTTTCAGGTCTATTTTAGGGCTGTTTCCGGGTGTTTTGGCACATTCCCCCCCCCGTTGGCAGCGCCCATTGAGTCACCCTTGGCACCGGGCCCCCACCCCCCCCCCCCGCTGCTCCCCACCCTTGGCAGCGCTGCCCCGGCCCCGCCCTCATCCTGCTCCCCCTTAACCCCCTTTGCACCCCATTCACCCCCATTTACACCCCATTTGCACCCCATTTACACTCCATTCACCCCCATTTTCACCCCATTTTTACCCCATTCACCCCCATTTTCCCATTTACCCCATTCCCCCATTCACCCAATTTTCCATTTTTTTTACCCCTTTTCTCATTTTACCCCATTCACCCCCATTTTCCCATTTACCCACAGTTTCACCCCATTCACCCCATTTTCACACATTCGCCCCCATCATCACCTCATTTCTACCCCATTTACCCCCATTTTCACCATCCTTTCCCATTTGCCCCATTTCTCACCCCATTCCCACCCATTTTCGCATTTACCCACAATTTCACCCCATTCACACCCATTTTCACCACATTCACCGCCATTTTCACTCCATTTACCCCATTTTCATTCTATTCCGCCCATTTTACCCCACTAACCACCATTCTTCACCCCATTTCCACTTCTTCACCCCATTCCCCCCATTTTCACCCCATTTACCCCGTTTTCACCCCATTTATCCCCATTTCCCCAATGCCCTCCATTTTCACTCCATTGCCCCCATTTTCACCCCATTCCCCCCATTTTCACCCCATTACCCCAATTTCAACCTATTCTCACCCCATTTACCCCATTCTTCACCCACTTACCCCATTACCCCAATCTCGCCATCATCCCCCATTATTTGACAATTCTCCCACTTCCCTCCATCTCCCACACCCCCTCCACACCCCCACCCCCCATCCATCCCCCGACACCTCCCTCTAACACACCTTACCCCCCTATCTCCTCATACCACCCGCCCTCCCTCGCCTTGGCCCCGCACCGGCCCCGCCCCCTCGCCTTGGCCCCGCCCCCTCACCGCGGCACACGCGCTGCTTGGCCCCCGAGAGGATGCCGGGGGTGTCGATGATGCTGATGCTCTCCAGGACCTGGTTCGGGAGGTGCGCGCACTGGAACCTGACCATGGGGGATGGGGGATGGGGGAGGGGGGAGGGGGGTGGGGGATGGGGGGACACGTTATAAACACCCCTCCCCCACCGCCAAGGATCACAGCGTGATCGGGGGGGAGGGGGAATAGGGGGGGTTTGGGGGGGATGGAGAGGGGTTATGGGGGGATATAGAGGGGTTATGGGGGGTATAGAGGGTTATGGGGGGATATAGAGGGGTTATGGGGGGATATGGGGTGATATAGACAGGTTATGGGGGGATATGGGGTGATATAGATGGGTTACGGGGGGATATAGAGGGGTTATGGAGGATACAAAGGGGTTATGGGGGGATATAGAGGGGTTATGGGGGGATATGGGGTGATATAGACGGGTTATGGGGAGATATAGAGGGGTTATGGGGGGATATAGAGGGGTTATGGGGGGATATAGGGTGATGTGGGGGGGTTATGGGGGATATAGAGGGGTTAGGGGGGGATATAGAGGGGTTATGGAGAGATATGGGGGGGTTGGGGGGGTTATGGGGAGATATAGAGGGGTTATGGGGGGATATGGGGTGATATAGATGGGTTATGGGGGGATATAGAGGGGTTGTGGGGAGATATGGGGGGGTTGGGGGGTTATGGGGAGATATAGAGGGGTTATGGGGGGAATAGAGCTATATGGGGGGGTTGGGGTTATAGGGGGGATATAGAGGGGTTAGGGGGGGATATAGAGGGGTTTAGGGGGGATATAGGGTGATATAGGCGGGTTTGGGGAGGATATGGGGGGTTATGGGGAGATATAGAGGGGTTATGGGGGGATATAGATGGTCTGGGGGGATATGGGGTGATATAGAGGGGTTATGGGGCGATATGGGGGGGTTGGGGGGGTTATGGGGAGATATAGAGGGGTTATGGGGGGATATAGAGGGGTTTAGGGGGGGATATAGGGTGATATAGGGGGGTTTGGGGAGGATATGGGGGGTTATGGAGGTATAGAGGGTTATGGGGGGATATAGATGGTCTGGGGGGATATGGGGTGATATAGAGGGGTTATGGGGTGATATTGGGGGATTATGGGGAGATATAGGGGGGTTATGGGGCGATATAGAGGGGTTTAGGGGGATATGGGGTGATGTAGGGGGGTTTGGGGCAGATATAGGGGGGTTATGGGGAGATATGGGGCAGGTTATGGGGCAATATAGAGGGTTTGAGGGGGTATGGGGGGATATAGGGTGATTTGGGGCAGATATTGGGGCTTTGGGGTAAAATGGGGGGGATTGGGGCCATTTCAAGTGGGTTTTGGGGGGACACAGGTGGGAATTAGCGGGATTTTGGGGTGAGTTTGGGCCGTTTTGGGGGCTCAATGGGGCACTTCCAGGCCTTGTTCCAATGGGGCCGTCAGCCAGCCCCATGGAGGGGCAGAATTCCCATTGCCATGGGAAAGCTCAGGATATGGGGAGGGGGGGGGTGAGAACGGGCTCAATTCACCGCGTTCCCATTGGATTTGGGGGGGGGGGACACCCAAAGGAACTCCCCATCACGTTCCCATTGGATTTGAAGGGGGGCAACACCACTAAAAGGAAGTCCCCATTGCATTCCTATTGGATTTGAAGGGGACGGTACCACCCAAAGGAAGCCCCCACTGCATTCCCATTGGATTTGGTGGTGGTGGGGACCACCAAAAGTAAGTCCCCATTGCATTCCCATTGGATTTGAATGGGGGAGGACCACCAAAAGTAAGTCCCTATTGCATTCCCATTGGATTTGAATGGGACGGGACCACCAAAAGGAACTCCCCACCCCATTCCCATTGGATTTGAAGGGGACGGGACCACCTAAAGGAAGTCCCCACTGCATTCCCATTGGATGTGATGGGGACGGGACCACCTAAAGGGAACTCCCCATCCCATTCCCATTGGATTTGGTGGTGGTGGGAACCACAGAAAGGAACTCCCCATCCCATTCCCATTGGATTTGGTGGGGACGGGCCCCCCTAGAGGAAGTCCCCACTGCATTCCCGTTCCCATTGGATTTAGTGTGGGGGGGACCACCGAAAGGAAGTCCCCATCGCGTTCCCATTGGATTTGAAGGGGATGGGACCCCCCAAAAGGAACTCCCCACCCCATTCCCATTGGATTTGGTGGGGACAGGACCCCCCAAAGGGAACTCCCCACCCCATTCCCATTGGATTTGAAGGGGACAGGACCCCCCAAAGGGAACTCCCCACCCCATTCCCATTGGATTTGCAGCGCTGCAGCACTCACCGGTTGAGGAAACCATTCCCAAACGGACTGAGCTTCCGGAAGGGTTTATTGGGATCGACGACGAGGGCGTTACCGGGGATGATCCCCTCGGTTTCCCCATGCATGATGGCCACAAAGGAGTCAGTGGTGGGCTCGGGTCCGACGCGGCTTCCCGGGATGTCCTGCTCCAGTAGGTACTGGATGAAGGTGGTTTTCCCAGTGGAATACTGCCCCATCACCAGCACCATGGGCTTGGTGTCGAAATCCGCCTCTTCCAAGGCGGGCGAATGGAAGTCATGGAAGCGGCACGCTTCTTCCATAGGGAATAACTTCTTCCTATAGAGCTTCTTGAGGCCGGCTCGCACCGTCCCCGCCGCCTCCGGGCTCTTCTTGGCGTGCTTCTTCATCCAGCTGAACATTCCAGCCTTTGGGAATGCTGTGGGTTTGATGGGGATGAACGCGACCCGCACCGGGCAATAGGATCGAGGCGCGCTCAATGGCAAGCGGTGGCCATGGGGGTGCTCCTAAGTGCGTCAAAAGGGGGGTCCCCCCCTTCCCAAATTCCAGGTGGATCCAAAAGGTTGGTTTTTTCCCCCAAAATCCCGTTTGTTTTTTCCACGCACCCCCCCCAACTTTTTAATAGGAAAAAAGGGGGTTTTAGCCCTAAAAAAAGTGGGATTTTAGGGCTTGTTTTAGTGGGATAGGAAGGAAGGGCAAAGCCTGTTGCGGCGTTCCCAAGCTCTGAGAGGGAAGCGGCCGGAGGAAAGGGATGGGGCTATGGGATGCAACGGGGGGGGGCATAAATCGGGCTAAATTACCATAAATCAGGCTAAATTAGCATATATTAATCATTGGAGGCGGGGCCAACCGAAGGGAAACGAATCCAGGGATAACGGGGTGCTGGGAGCGGGGATTCCAGGGAATCCCAAGGGATCCCTAGGGATTGGGGGGGGGAGGAAGGGAAAGGGGGGGGTCGCGATGTGGGGCTCATCCCAATGGGATCCGATGCTCCCCCCCCCCCCCCAGTTTGGCTCCACCTGGGATTTCCTGGGATTGTGGGATCCGCCCGCACCCCCCCCCCCCCTTGGAATTTCCTGGCCACAGCCCCACTGTGGGGCAGGGTCCGGGGCTCTGATTGGCTCCTGACCCCCTCCAGCATCACTTATGGGGCACAATCCAGGGCTCTGATTGGCTCCTGCCCCCCCCCCCCCCAACCTCACTTATGGGGCACAATCCAGGGCTCTGATTGGCTCCTGACCCCCCCCCCCAGCATCACTTATGGGGCACAATCCAGGGCTCTGATTGGCTCCTGGACCCCCAACCCCCCCGCCCCACAAGTGGGTGGGAGCCGCCCCATGGGACCAAGGCCCCTCCCTGCCCCCCTCCCCCCCCCGTGGGGCTTTACCCGATTTTAACCCTTTTAACCCCGATTTTAAGGCTTTTCCCTGGATTTTCACCGTTTTCCTGGGATTTCACCCCATTTTCACCGTTTTCCTGGGATTTCACCCCATTTTCACTGTTTTCCTTGGATTTCACCCCATCTTCACCATTTCCTCATGATTTCAATGGGATTTTCACCGTTTCACCCCATTTTCCGGCTGATTTTAACCCGCTTTTTACCATTTACCTGGATCTGAACCATTTTCCCTGCCTTTTAACCCGATTCTCACCATTTCCCCTCGATTTTAACAGCATTGTCAGCCTTTTCCCTGGATTTTCACAAGTTTTCCTGGATTTTTGCCATTTTCCCTGGATTTTAACCCTTTTTGCATCATTTCACCCCAATTTTCACCCTTTTCCTGGTGATTTTAACCCTGTTTTCACCGCTTCCCTCTTGATTTTGAGAGGATTTTAACCCTTTTTACCTGATTTTCTCAGTATTTCCTGGCTTTTACCCATTTTTCACCAATTTTCCCTGGATTTCAACCCAATTTTCATCATTTTACCTGTTTTTTTACCATTTTACTTGGATTTTTACCAGATTTTCACCATTTTCCCCCAATTTTCACCATTTGCTCTGGATTCCATCCACTTTTCACCATTTTCCTGAATGTTAACAAATTTCCCTGGATTTTAACCCAGTTTTCACCATTTCTCCTGGATTTTAACCCGATTTTCACCACTTTACCTGTTTTTTACCATTTTCCCTGGATTTTACCCCAATTTCCATCCCTTTCCCGGATTTTCCCCATTTTCTCTGGATTTCAACCACCTTTCCCCATTTCCTGGTGATTTTAACCCCATTTTCACCATTTTCCCTGGATTTTAACCCCATTTTCACCATTTTCCCTGGATTTTCACCCAATTTCCACCCTTTGCCTGGATTTTCCCCATTTTCCCTGAACTTCAACCAACTTTCACCATTTCCTGGTGACTTTAACCCCATTTTCACCATTTTCCCTGGTTTTTCCCCCCATTTTCACCATTTTCCCTGGATTTTCACCCAATTTCCACCCTTTGCCTGGATTTTCACCGCTTTCCCTGGATTTCAACCAACTTTCACCATTTCCTGGTGATTTTAACCCCATTTTCACCATTTTCCATGGACTTTAACCCCATTTTCACCATTTTCGATGGATTTTAACCCCATTTTCACCGTTCTCCCTGGATTTCCCCCCCATTCCCAAGGGATCGGGGTTGGGGGGTGCTGAGTTTATAGAAAGCAAAAACCATTTTAATTTACAAAGTCCTAAATGTACAGAATTCCCGATAAAAAACGCCGTTATCCACAATAAATACAAGTACAAAACTATTTATAGGATGGATCATTCGGGATACCGGGAATGGGGGGGGGAGGGGGTGGCTTGGAATGATTCTGACCTTCCCCCATCCCAAAATCCCACTAAAACCAGGATTAACTCCGCTCCCAGCATCACCCCCCCCCCCCCCCCAGAATTCCATGGATTGGGATAAGGCTGAACCCCCCCTCCCCATCTCAGCGCCACATCCCATGGGATAAAGGGGGGGGGTTCCTATGTAAAATGAAGGGGAAGCGCCATCCCGCACGCCCCGTTTTGGGGGGGAAATAGGGGAAATCTCCCGGTTTTCCGCATGGAAAAGAGGGAAAAGGTGGATTTCGGGCTCCCAATGGGGGGAACCGAGCGATATTCCCAAGCTAAAGAGCCCCAATAAACCCGGCTTTAATACACATGGATATAGAGGGATAAGGGGGGGGATCCAACAGGGATCAAACAGTGGGAAAACGGGAATTGTCCCTTATTGCTGCCCTAATCCGGTTGCAAGGCTGGGAATGGGGCTCCGGAGAGGCCAAGCCTGGAGCTTGGGGATCGTTTTCCATAGGGATTCCATTGGGATTCCCTCCATCCCCATCCCTCCCTTAAGGCCTTTGGAAGGGATGGAAGCGGTTGGGATTGCGGGAGGCAATGGGAACTGGGGGGTTAAAGGGAGGAACTGGGCGCTGGCGGTGAGCAAGCGGTCAGGAATGCCGGAATGCCGGAACGCGGCGTTCCCATAGCTCCGGAAAAGGGGATTTGTGGATCCCAGTTGAGTTTAACCCCCCCCTTTCCCCTTGCAAGCGAGAGAATTCCCACTTTTTCCTTTAGAAACGTCAAATTTGGGGTCAATTTCCCCCATTCCCATGATTTGGGCCCCAAAATGGGAAAACTCCCCAAAAAACACTAAGGAAAACACTTGGGAAACGCCGCATTCCGGAGCGGGACCCGCGCTGTTTTAACCCCCCCAAATCCCGTTTTCCCTGCGGATTCCCATCGGGAAGCTATGGATAAAAGGATGGGGGAGGCTGAACTTAGTGCCTTGTATGGGAAAATAAGGAAAAGACTCGGGAAAAACAGTGGGAAAAGGCCCGGCCCCGGAGCGGGGATGACGAATCCTTCCGGATTGGGTGTTTTTAGGGAAGGGGTGGAGAATTCCCCATTGTTTTGGTGCTTCCCCCCCTTCAAACCCTCCCAGAGGGAGAATAGGGAAAAGCAGAGCCCTATTCCCACCCCTTTTATCCGCAGGGATTTGATCCCCCTTTTCCAGCATCTGATCGTTGCGCTCCCTGCTTTTCCCCTCTGGATGATCCCAAATCCTGGAATAACCCCATTCCAGCTCCTCTTTCCTTTTGGGGTGAATGGGGGGGGAATGAACCCCATTCCAGCTCCTCTTTCCTCTTGGGGTGGATGGGGGGGGGATGAACCCCATTCCAGCTCCTCTTTCCTTTTGGGGTGAATGGGGGGGGGATGAACCCCATTCCAGCTCCTCTTTCCTTTTGGGGTGAATGGGGGGGGGGGATGAACCCCATTCCAGCTCCTCTTTCCTTTTGGGGTGAATGGGGGGGGGGGATGACACCATAGAAAAGCAGGAACAATCCCACTCTTGGGAATCTGGAATCCAAACGGGGGCTTCACCCCAAACCCCCCCTTATTCCCAAGTTTTCCATCCTGGAGTTTTCCCAACATCCCTCCCTCCCTTTTTTTTTCCCCACACCCCCCCCCCTTTTTTTTCCCCCTCCCCCCCAACTTCCGGTCCCCATTCCCACCTTCCCCACCCCTTTCCCATGGGATTCCAAGCGGGATCTTCCTCTGTTATCTGGTCAACGTCCTGGCTCCAAGGCCACCGTTGTGGTTGGGGGCAGCGACGAAGGTGTCCGTGCGATGGGCGGGCGAGGAAAAAGGGGAAGAGGAGGAATTGTAGGAAGAGGAAGGCGTCCGGATGCTTTGGGAAGCGCCGGGATGCTGCTGGAGGTTGAGGATGCTGTCGATGGCGCTTTGGAGATGCTCGTTGAGGGCATCGTCTTGAGGGCTATCACTGGAGAAGCTGGCGTTATCCACTTCCAAGGATTCCGACTTACGGCGCTTGGCCGACGGGAACGGCGCTTCCCAATGGAGTTCCGGCCCGGTGCCTTGATCCGGAGGCTCCGGTTTGATCATTCCATGGTAAAAGTCCTCTTCCACCTCTTCAAGCTCCTTCATAAGGCCACTGGTGGAGTCTTCGGGCTTGCTCGGCACTAAGAGCTTGGGGCTCTTCTCCATGGGTTTCTCCCGGCTCCTATGGGATGTGATGACGCTCCGGGAGCCATCCTCATGCTTTACGTTGCTTCCGACCGGGATAGGCTCCGTTTTGGTGCTTTTCGAGCCAGTATCAGGGCTTTTCTCCCCTAAAAAAGCATCCACGTTCTCCCTGTAGGTTTTCCGGAGGGGCAAACGGCAATAGGTGACCATGGGTTTCTTCTCGCTCATTCCCGATATCCCATGGTCAATGGAGCCGTTCATGGTGGCACCGGTGGCTCGGATGACCCTACACGTGCTTTGGGGTTGGTGTACTGGGTCCAGAGCTGTGTTATGGACCACTTTGCTCAAACCAGCTTCTTGTTTGATCTTCAGTTTGAGGCCAATCCTGCTCCGGGCTTCATAGGTTTTGATGGGAGGTTTGCTCCGGGATGGAAGAGCATCCTCATCCCCATCCAAT